GTTCCACAAATTATGTTCCCTCATGTGGAGCTGACATTGCAGAACAGTATTGAAATAGACATGTCACTAGAGGTACCAGTATACAAAAGGATAATCATAAAAAGGAATCATCATATTGGGTGGCTTCTGTCATTACGGTTTGCGGACCTTTATTGCGACTGCGTTATTTTGGTGGTTACGATAGATTTTTAGAATTTTGATTTAACAGCTCTCTTTCATCCACCGCTTCGCGCGCGCTTTTCATTCTTTACTTTTCTAAAACTTTAAATTACATTGAAAGAGTGACAACAAATTAAAAAGTCAAAGATAAAATCATATTAAAAAATAAAGACTTTGCAAGTTTTTCAAACCATTTTCTACGTGCCTTCTTGTTATATTATAATAGTTATAATTGTTATCATAGTTGAAAATATATATTCCTTCCCTTCCCCTCAAATATCTTTTAGCCATTGAGAGATTTCATTACTCTCCGATATAATAATCTATGCTTTTTTAAAAAAAAAGTGTAAATATTGAACTAAATATAATTATTAGAGATTTGATTTGTTACTTCTATGTAAATTGAAACACACATTCTCACAAACTGTACTTAACTATTTCAGTTCTATAGTCTAAGCTGTAAAAAAGATTGAATATCTTACTTATTTTTGATGACACGAAAAAAAATTTCAGATGAATCACGGAATTAATTTAATTGAGAGATTCTGCTTTCTATCACAAATCGGGCTTCACATGCGATCGTACCTTGCAGAACAAAACATTTTTTACCTGTAATCTTTTTATGTTGTTCAAAAAATTCATGTGTTAATTCTCAAGTGATATATGCCTCATTAAAATATCTCAGGTAATAATGCAATAATGCAATATCTCAAATAACTGTATACGTTAAATTAATTTGAAAATTAAATCGGAAATTAATTAAGTGGACCTATAACTTTTTGCCAATGCATCGAGGAAATCGGGCCTGTCATAGTGATAGCCATGTGACGATAAAATTTTCTAAAGTAAAGAATAAAAAGCGCGCGTCTGTGACGTCCAATAATATAAATTATGAGGAACAAGAGAAATGAGAAAAGGCATATATTTCGATTCTTGGTTTGGGTCCTTTTCACGAACAGTTCAATGATATGATTGGCATAGTTCGTAAACTTCGTAAATCCTATTCGCTCCTTCGTTTGTGGCAGTAAATCAGGGGAATTGATGTGTCGGTTTTGGTAACGTCAAATTGTCAACACTTTTGAAGTCAGACAGATAAAAGAAAAACGGAAAGAGCGGATATCAGGCAAATATACAAGATAGTCTGCGTGTTAACGCTTGAGCGTTTTAACATATAATAGATATTCGCTTTTTCCGTCCTTCTCTTATCTGAGTGTTTTAACACTCAAGCGTTAAAACACTCAGAATTGCTATTATTCTCGGAAAGGCTTGAGCCATTCGCTTAACTCGAGTTTCGAAGACGAAAGGGAAAGGGGCAAGATCCGGATGAGCAGAACTTGCACAACAGGGATGTTACAGCGAGGTCCAATAACTAGATTAGCTCTAAGCGTTTCCCGACAGGGCACTCACTTTAAAGAACCGCTCTCTCTTCCTCTCTCGCGCTACGATTATTCCCTTCAGAATCTGTCCCTAAACATCCTTCCTCTGGGTGTCGTGAAACGTGGTGAATTGCCAACTCGGAAGATAAACGTGTGCCATCTACTAATTGACGCAATAAAACTAGACGTTGTTTTATCGCGTTTTCGGACCGGAATTATTTCAGTTACCTCTACTTGCGAAATATTCACTCCGGTGAGGGAATTTGATTAGATTCTCTTAATTGCTCATTTTGAAATTGTTTCAGCGTAAAAGAATTATGTAAATATTAAATTTTAAGCGCTAATTCTCCTATTTAAGAATTCAAAAATTTGTTAAAAAGTCACAGAATCGAAATTTCAAAGATATGAAAATTCGTAATGTCTAAAAATCAAGAGATTAGGAAATGCTTCAAGAATTCAGCACATTTCAAAGTTTAAAAAATATTACTTTTGATTATCCAATATTTAACGTTTCAAAATTTTATCAGTTTTCGGAAAATTTCATACTTGAAATAAGTACAATTCTTATTTAAATATTTCATTATAATGAAATATTTCTTCAAACTCGAATAAAGAATAAAGAATAAAGGCCAATGCCGATCATAGCAGGATCTTGGTGCATCAGTACTTATTGAATTGTGAGCATCAGTACTTATTAAATTGATTATCAATTTAATAATGTAATAATACGGTTCTGTTTCAATCAAAGGCTGCGTTGAATTCGGAAGTAACGGCATGCGATTTTGTTGAAGCCAGAAAACGTATGTAAAATCACATAGAAATATTAGAAGCACCAAGATTCTGCTATAACCGGCATTGGTCTTCTTTATTCGTCGTGTCTGAAATACTTATACGGTCATAATATATACATTGAAATATTTCTTGTTTCGAAAGAATCCTTGCGGTGAGAAAAAATTCTAACACGGGGTGTTAGAATCTTTTCTCCACGGGGTGTAACTAACTATTCATGAAAAGGACAAAAGGATTTTCTAAAAGAATTTTTTGACGGTAGGAAGTAAAGAAACGTGAGTGCTCATTCTTTTAATTCTATTCAAGAATTCGTTCCAAAACAAATTCTTTTATCTGTCTTCTGTGTGGTAATTGTACGATAGTAGGCAAAGGAAGAAGAATGAAATCTGCGAGTGCTACAACGAAGATGTATATCATCCAAAAATATGCTTGCAGGCAGCGAAAGAGCGACGAAAAAGTGCTGCATTACCAAAAAAGAAAACGTGGAGGCAGAAGTATGGAAGGATAAGGATGGCTTGGGGAGGGGAAAGGAGAAAGCAGAGAAATGGAAAATAGGAAAGGGGCTGGTACACTGAAGGTTCGAGCGTGCGCATCATTTTTACTGAGGAGGAGAAAGAAGAGGAGGAGGAAGTGGAGAAGGTGGTGGAGGAGGAAGAGGAAGAGGAGGAGGAGACGCTTCCCTTATTCGACGTCGCCGGGGAAACGAAAAATGGGGGAGAGTCGGTGCGAGGCGAGGAAGAAAATGACGGATAAAGGAGCTCGAGGGAGTTGCGGAAGGTCCTTTGTCGTCTGGGGTATTTAACGGAAATACTAGACGGGAATATCTCCGTCGACGCTAAATCACGCGGACGTGTGCACGAAGTCGTTCATAAAGGAAGCGATAAGAAATAATATGTCGTGACAGAATGATAGTCCCGATTGTGCAATGAATAATTCTTGCTGCGTTGAAGATTTTTTTCTAAAGTTGCGAATGAAATGGTGTCTTACAATTACAGGCTGTCTTTGATCGAAATTAATTTGTTGTAGAATGGTAAACTCGTCGTATTTTAAAAAATTATAAATAACAAGGGGTAACGAGTGGCTCAGTCATTCACACTGCGAGCACGTTGATTCGTAATTGGCGTTCGTCTCGGGTTTGATCCCTCACCATACATATGCCTCGATTTTATGAGGTTTATTAGAAACGTAATATCCAATTTCTTTTCCTTAGGATTATACACCTGTTACGGACAATTCTGAATTCTTTTAATGCTACAAAAAGTGCAGCTAAAGCCTCCAACTTTCTTGTGACTTCTTGTCCAGCTTGTGGTTTTAAACAAATCTTGACAGAGTCATGTGGTGTAGATATTGAATTCTCAAGCAACAGTTTTATTTTCTGATCTTCTTGCATAACAACTTCAGCGGCCTTACTCATAACTTTAATAGAAGTGGTGCCACTGGTGCCCCTTTTTGTTTTTTTGTTTATATGTTCACATTTTAAAACACAGCAGGAACTATTTATATATTTGCAATAGCGCAAATTGTCACAGTAACAATGTGTCCTAAGATACAGTAACAATATTATATACAGAGACTGCCAAAAGTTTGGAGCCACTTAAATAATTTCCGAATGGTTCGAGAAAAGAAATAATCGAAAAATATTTACTTATCTGGTACGTGACTAGGTCTTTCTTACAACCACACGATTCGCTATCGCAGACGCTACTAAAATTAATGACAGAGTGGCGCGATCGACTCACAGAACGAAAACAATTGAAAACATAATCTCTATCTCTTTCCATTTTGAAGATATAACCGTCAGAGCAACTTAGGTACCCCCGAAACTTTTAGCCCCGGTCTCCCCTATAAGTATTTATTACTGTTATAACTTTATTGGTCAAATCCAACGGATTGAGAAGTATATACGGAAACGAGGCAAGACGACTATTAGGAGACGCGGTAGCGGCTCTCGCCAAG